GTCCGACTAATCAATTTAAGAAAAAAGGAGTTGAATGGAACAAGAAAGGGCTCTGCAAGGCAGCTTAAGAGATAAACAGATGGTGGATTTGTTTATCACCCTGTAAAATATAAAAGCCTACAATCATAAAAAAAAAAATTGCTGACACTGACCTGTGTAGCAGCCACATTCAATTACCCACAGCCTGTTTTCAGCAGCTGTGGAATAATCAGAGCCTTATGACAAACACATTTCTGCCTCTTATTTTGTTTATCTACATCATTCCTTTAATTTCCCTCACTTTCCCTGAGGTGTTCCACTTCATGTCCTTGAGCTTCTGCGAATGCGATTCTTGAGCCAGGTGGACATTCGCTGTCTCCGTCTCCCCCGAGACGCTGGGCTTTTCGCCCAGACAGTGAGGCAGCATCCTTCCTGACTGCAGGCTGCTGCTCAGTCAGGTGTCTGCTGTCAAAGGCAAGTGACAGGCTGCTTGGCTTTTAGAAAGAAAAAAAAAAGAAGCTGAGAACAATGTAGTTCTGCTCAAAGCTCCAAATGAAGAGGAAGGGATGACTGAGGGGGGAAGAAATAAAGAGCTGACAGCAGGAAGGGCAAGAGCCTCAAAGAGAAAGGAAGCAGAAGACAGAAATAACAGAGACTACACAGACATTTACATCAGTGGCAAAAACACAACCAGGGGATCTTCTGAACTGGATTATTTCACAAAAGCTTACTGGTTTTGAAATAAGCCTCACGTCGGGGTTGAAATTTGACTTATATAAAGTTAACAGGAGGCATATGTGTGTTAAAAACTTGCCCAATACTGTAGTTCATTCCCTACGTCCAGACTGCTGGATAAAACTGCTTAGTCATCACAGGAGTACATAGAACAGCTCCAGAACTTCCTATACGCTTCAGTGGACAACTCTTAACAGGTAAACTGCTCTGCCACCATTATAGGTTCAGTCCTTTGACTAAGGTCTGGTCTAACTAGTTATGTCAGTATACCAGCAGAGAAGACCAGTCATCGAATACCATCGAGTACCTGTAGGGCCGAGACAGACCAACTGTTTGGCTGAACGATTATTGGCATTAATAAATAAATTATTGGAATTAGGCTGTTTTGAGCGCATGTCTGTTGTGAAAAACAAACACTTTGATCCTGTGTTTAACTCTCATCATTAAAAACGGGTTATACACTCAACACACACTTATGTGCTCATTCATTTTGCACTACATTTTATATATATATGTTTTTTTTTGTTTTTTTTTACTAGCCTTACTATATTGCATGTCACTTTACCTTTATATAATTATCAATGACTTCATACATATACGGTGTACATTCACTTCACATGTTGCATTTGTTACTTTACTTCAAATGTCAATGTCAGGACCTTCATACATATACTTTTTATATTTATACTGCTATATTTACAATTTAGGATACTTTTATTATTTTATTTTATGCTAATGTTTATTAAATGTTTAAGGGTTATTGTTGCACCAGGGGTCCGAGAGTAATGAAATTTCAATCCTGTGTATGTCCTGTACATATTGCAGTTTTGACAATAAAAGTTGACTTTGCCTGACTTGGCTTGTGCACTTCCAGTGTTATAATCTGCCCTAATATATGTGAGTTTTAAGCTAATGTAAAAATTTGCACACCGACAATGACAGAGCTGGCTTATATACCAGATATATAAAATGTAACATCATTAGAGGTTGAATGACTGGAAGATAACGTTGGAGGCCAGACTGAGATGGTTCGAACATGTGCAGGGGAGGGACAGTGGGTATATTGGTAGAAGGATGGTAAAAGACAAAGAAGGCTAAAGAGGAGGTGTGTTAGAGAAGACATGGAAGTACGGTAGTTTGAGTGAGGACAGAGAGATGAAAAGGGGATTGACCATTTTACAGCTACTAATATGCATTCCCACAAAGAGCTTCCTTTTTCCAGTTGTCATTCATCTGTATTGTTTTGGTTCTTTACACCTGCTTTTTTAAATTTATGATTATATACAACAATATACTGTGATGGACTTGAGACCTGTCCAGGGTGTACCCTGCCTCTCCCACAGTGACTGATGGATATGAGCACCAGTGACCCCCATGACCCGTAAAGAAAGAAGCAGGTAAAGATAATGGATGGATGAACGGATGGATGTTTTCTACAAATGTATTTGTTTTCGTTTAACTTTTATTTGTAAGTTACCAGTAGTTTTATTGGTATTTTACTTTGTGATAGCGATGTGAAATGTTCCTGGTCATTGGAATGACTGCAGAGTACAAGAAGCTAATACATAGGTAGATATGAACACTGTTTAAACTAAGTCCATCCATCCATCATCTTAACCAGTGTCTTCCTTTTTGGGTCACGGGTGTCACCGGTGCCCATATCCAGCAGTCACTGTGCGAGAGGCGGGGTGCAACCTGGATAGGTTGCAAATCCACCACAGTAAGCTAGGTCTATATTAACAAACCAGAAGTACCAAGCATGACACTATCTAGACCCCAAAGCATCGTAAAATACTGACTTGAGCATGCACATTAGTAACCGCAAAAAAGTCAGTGACTCGTTGTGACCACTGAAGAAAGAAGGATGTTACAACTAGGGGTGCACCGATAAATCGGCCGGCCAATTTATCGGCCATCGTTTCCTTAATTTTGGAAAATCGGAAATCGTCCAATACTTGCACGAGAAACCGATTTCACCGATTGTTTTAGTTTTAACAACAATTTAAAATTTCATTTATATTTCAGAGCCCCACCTCATGGCCAGTTAAAACAAGTTTGTATTGTTTCTAGGATATTGTTCAGGGGTATGTTTTTCAATAAAATAAGATTGGAAAATTGAAAGTGCATTGTGACTTTATAACACCCGACAGTGTCGCTTATAAAACAAAATCAGTATCAGCAGGTCAGACTTTTTAGAAATCGGTGATCGACCAGAAAACTGCAATCAGTTTATCCAGTTTCATGATACCAGTTTTTTTCAAACATATTACAAGCACTTCAGTTTGGGTACTTGCCAATCAATACCAAGTACCAATACCAAATAGTTAATGAATTAGTTCTAAACATTAAACAATGACTTTGGAACATTTCTTTTATTAAGAACATAGCAAGCGGTCTACTGTGTTAATATCACCTGTGTTTGTCTTAAAGTATCTCTAAACTACGAACATTTTTTATTTGTCGTCCTCAATTACTTGCAAAGTGAGAGAGGAAATGACATCACCAAACATAAAAGTGGTAATTTGGTAAAGAAACTGAAAGTTAAACTGGGTTTCTTTTTCAGAAACAGATCCTGTCTAACTCTGAATGCTAGGAAACGCCTTGTAAATGCGACTTTCCTTCCCTCCATTGATTACGGTGACATTATTTACATGAACGCTCCTACAAGCATCCTGCAGATGTTGGATGCTGTCTATCATGGTGCGCTAAGATTCATAACTGGCTGTAATTACCGTACCCACCACTGCACCCTGTATTCACTGCTTAACTGGTCATCGTTAACTTCACACAGACTCTCTCACTGGTACATTTTTATCTTTAAATCACTTCTTGGTCTGCTGCCTTCATACATCTCCTCCTACATGTCACTGTGTGAGTGCAGTTACAGCGTGCGCTCTCAGGACATTATTACCTGCAGTGTTCCCTCAGTGAGGACTGGGGTCTTCCCCTTCTCTGCTCCTGTTTCTTGGAATATCTTGCAAAAATATCTGAAGCTCTCGACCTTGACCTCTCTAAGTGGCTTTAAACATCTGTCAAGTTCCTGGCAAGAACCAATGCAGACAAGTTCCTGTTTTTAGTTTTCTACACCGCCTTATAATCTAGCTGTTTTTTGGCTACGTTTCTTTGTCCTTTTAATTATCACTTTGTTTTCAATTGTTAAAAAATAATAATAATAATAAATTTGTATGCATCATTTGTGAATGTCTATTGTCGTCATCACTCTTTGTTAAAATCCAGGTCTCTCTTGTAAACGAGTCCTCGTGGCTTAATGGGACTAAACTGTTAAAATAAAGGTTGAATGGTATCAATTTAAAGTACAGGTATCAGTGTTTGTATGAGCGCAAGTACAAGTACTTGAGGCTGGTATTGGGTCCAATACTGATGCTAGCATCTGTACCAGGATAATGATAATATAAATATATTAGACTATCTATAAGCTATCCAAGTATAAGCTAAGGAGCTTTAATGCAAGCAAAATTACTTTGCAGCTGGTGTACAGGTCACTGGTTGAAAGTGTTGTTTCATTTAATATTGTCTCATGGTATGGGAACCTCCTAGCCAGAGACAGGAACAAGTTGTCCCGGGTGGTCAAACAAGGTAGTAAAGTCATTGGTCATCAACAAATGACAAATGACAAAAAAGGCAATACAGGTTTACAATGACCCAACTCATCCACTGCAACCATTATTCAGGTACCATCTGGTAGACGACTGCTGGTTCCTTTGGCAAAGAAAAACGGGTACAAAACGTCATTTGTTCCCTCTGCGGTGAATAAACGCAGCCTCACATAACAAACTACTGTCTGCTGGGATGTTTCCATATTTTAATGTATAGTGTATTTTAGAATGGTTTTAACTGCATGTTTTTAATTGATTTAGCCTTGGTTTTAAAGTTTTTTTAATCGCATTTTTATTTTGTTTTTATAAGCCAGATGTCAAAGACAAGTCTCCATTTCATTGAATGTTACGGACAATAAAGTTGAATTGATTGATTGATGTGTGTAAAAATGTAAAAATGCCACAAGGCTGTGCGCTACGGTTGACCCACAACCCGGCTGCCCTCCAGCAGCGCAAATATCAGGAAACAACAATGTTTATCCTTTCCTAAACCTTTAACAATTTATTTAAAACACAATGATATCCATGATGGGGGGGTGCTGTAGCACTCCCCGCACCCTGACTTCCCATGCCTACTGGACAGTCCAGTCAACTTTAGCCAGGGGTCAGAACTGGTCATTAGGCAATGATTTCCTGAAAGGACTGAAGTGAACCCCACAGGACACTCACCTAGTTTCATCAGCGAGGCGAGCAGCACCCACAGAGAAATCTCAAACGGGATTTTGACGTGGTCGTACTCGAGGCTGAGGACCGGGAAAGCCTTTTTCGTGGCGTTGTGTTTGGTTTCCGCGTGTCCGTGGCGCTCCTCGTCACTCCCGGCGCTGCTGCCGCTGGTGTTCGGGGAGCTGGCAGCTCCTAGGGGGAGCACGGAGCCCTCCAGCAGCACAAGGAGCACCAGCAGGAGCAGCCCGAGCTCCGGGAGACTCCTCCCGTGACCCGCCCGGCTCCCGCCGCGGGCTCCTTTCCTCGAAGGCATGACGGTTTTTTTTTTAAAAAGTCCTCCTCAAACAAACAAATAAATAAATAAATAAACAAACAAACGGCCAGCAAGTTCAAGGAAGTTGACTCGGCTTCAGTTTCACAACCAGGGCCGACTCTTCAGACACTTCTGGTCGGTTCTTCCTCAAAGCGAACCAACCGTCCATTCTTGGGTGAGCCGCGCAGGTAAGCCGCCTCACGCACACGCGCAGGCCGCCGCTTCCGCCGCCGTTAAATTGGAGGAGGACGCAGGAGACGCCAAGATGCTGAAGAGGAGGTTCTCCTTTCTTTAAAACCTCCGTGACGACTGTCGACACAGACCACGGAATGCGCTCATCAGACCTGTTTCACAAGTTCTCGCGCCTCCCTGCGGCGTCGCTCAAAGAGTTGATGCTGAAGGCTGAGAGAGGAGCAGCATCTCCTTCCTCCTCTCCTCGCCACCTCCGACTGCCCAAGAAGCTCCTCCGTGAGGAGGTGCTCGGATACTGACCTTGAGGGGAAGCCGCACGTCTGCCACGCAGCATTTTGCCCCGCACCTCGTGAATAATATCAACTTTTTGATCCAAGTGGCCGTGAATGCGGCATCTTCTCTTCACCCGGCGGGAGGACGGCAGCCCGCAGGGCTCAGTCTGCGGCGGAATAAGCGAAGACCTTTTCAGGGCTCCGGATTCAGACTCTGGTTTGGTTTGTCGAGTGGGGTCTAGTTTTGTCTGCAGGGATGTTGTAGCTTCCTACAACCTTCAAAGCTCACACCCTTTCGCGGAGGTTTACTGGATGGGAGGTGTTAAACAGCAAGGGAGGGGGGGCTCGTCTACAGTGACACCTATAGGAAGGGAGGTTAAGATGTTAATTAGGTAGGACCTCCTGGTGTTTCACTTCTCCAGAATCAAAAGACTCAGGAGGAGCTGTGGTGGCCATCTCCACATGTTAAGTTTAATGATGCACAAGGGTTGGGTTTTTTTGTTTGTTTGTTTGTTTTATTACAAAACTTTATCAGTTTTACAAACAACTGACTGCCACGGGTATATTAGCAGGTACAAAAGTATAGAAAGAACAATTTGGTTATAAAATCGTACAAAGGATAAAAAAATTCTAAAGATACAAAACAATATATTTACATGTTATACAGATAAATTCACATTAAGTTTTTTTCTAGATTAATGATGCACAAGTTAAATCCCGTCCTTCTTGCATCTGTGACATCACGTGGGAGCAAAGATGGCGTCCAAAGAGGGCAACGGCTCACAAACGGCAAAGGCAACTATTTGATTAACAGCAAGCCCAACTGGATCTGTGTCATTTTACCCTTTATTTATACAGATAATCTCAGTGAGTCACGAGAACTCGTTTTCAAGAGAGACTTGTTTTTGGGAGCAGATGGCGAGGGTTAAGGGCCTTGCTCAAGGGCCCAGATTGGGGCAAATGAGGGTGGAGACTGGTGTGGGTGTTTCACCATTTCCACCCACATTTTGATGTTGTCGGTCCGGAGAGTTGAACCTGCGACTTTCCTCTAACCTCTGTGCCACCACTCTCACAAAATTGTAATATTTTTACAATAAGTTAGAAGAACTGATCATTAATGTTAATTTCATTCAGCAATCATTGCTCAATATCTATAGAATTTACTGTGTTAAAGCAGTTTGTGTTTGGTATTGATTAGCTGCAGTGGCCATCTTGAATTGGATCGACTCCAAATGGTATTCAGTTGCAGATAAACATCCATTGATTATGTTTTGAGAGTTTTGTCAGAATCCAAGACGGTCTTTTAAAAACACATCATGCATGATAAGTTATCGTTCAAAGTTTGTGTTGGCAATGACTCTCAGCTACTACCACGCCAAGTTTTACCTGAATATCGTCAAAATTGGCTCAGTTTTATCCATTTCTGTGTTTTTTAAGAGTGCTGAGCTGCAGTGGCCATCTTGAACAGAGCTACAGTGGCCATCTTGAACAGAGCTGACTTAATGATTACTTTCAGAGAGTTTCTTTAAACTCTGTCCACTGGTACATGAGGTATTTTACTAACACTTCATATCAAAAAACACACACAAGCCAAAACATTATTGCCTCTAGCCTTATGTCAGGCTACAGGTACAAAATGTACCAAAGAAACTCAGCTAACTAATGAAACATGACCAGATAGACACATTGACAAACCAAAGATGGCTAAAATGAGATAGAAGATAAACAACAGATAAATTCAAAAAAGAAATGAGTTCTTAAAGCACAAAGGTATTAGTTGTCTCGGTCAGCGCAGTCGTTTTCCACATGTGGAAGAGTGGTACTAGTACAACACACAAAGGATAATTGTCATACAAGTTAAAGATATGCGAGATCTGTGTCGTAAAACAGTAATCTAATACAGCTGCGGTCTTAGCAGGAGGTTCAAAGGTCAAAGGTATGCCCGTGTGCCCTAATCTGAATTACACCAAAATGCACTGCCTAAATGCTTAGCAGAACACCTGCTTTATTACAATGTACTCCAACATTTAGAACAGGGGTGGGCAAACTTTCGGACTCGCGGGCCACATTGAGTTCTAATATTGGAGCGAAGGGCCGATGTTCTGTTCACAATATACGCCAGTGTCTGTAGTGCGCCTTTACTGGGGAAATGCTGGAACTACAGGGAAAACGACACCAGTTTTTTTTTCCCCCCTATTAAATTCAGGTTTTTTTTCATATATAATTTGAACCAGTGGCAATTTTAACCTCTTTGTGGGGGTGCTTAAGCACCCATAAATTTTACCTCAGCACCCCTGAAAAATAAAGCTAAAAAAATATATATATTTTTTTTAATTGTCCAAATTTTGGACAATTTGGGCGGACTAATTAAAATGCCCAACGGGCCGGGGTTTGCCCATGCCTGATTTGGAACATAAGATGTGGCTTCTGGCAATTCAGAGGTGCAGAGAAATGTAGCGATGAACTTGGAGGCATCACATAAGAAGTCAGCGATGAGCTACAACCCAAAACCCTCCAGATCGATAAATTGTTTAAACAGCTCTTACAGGTGTGCTGTAGATTCAGTGAGAAAAACTCACAGTCTGGTTTCATGGGAGTCGCCTTGCAAAGTTCTTATTAATGACTCACTGCGGTAAATTTTTGAAGACAACTTCAAGGATCTAGGAACGAATACTCACTTTATTTGTAAAGGTGGTGAGTAATGGCACTTTCTTTGTTTTAGAAAAGCGCTGCTCCTGCCATTACAGGTTTGTCGAGTTGGGGATGTTTCTTTGTGTGTGAAGTTGATCCAGAAGCATGACAGGGGCTGCGAGGAAAACTTGTAATGAAACGAGAGGAAGCAAACGTTGATTCTTATATATTTGTGCTCATATTGCGAGTCTAGATAATAAATTGGTGAAGGAAAGGCAGGTAGTGTTTCTTCTTCTAAACAAAAGTGACATCATGTCTATCAGAACTACCTGTGCTGCTCCATTAATAAGGGATGGTCAACGTTGATAACAGTGTGCCATTTTAGACACTTATTAAGTGGTGTTCAGGCGACACACAGTCTATGCCGTCAGTTATTTTTATCTTTACTGCTCTTTATGGCTGTTAGGTGCTTGATATTTTTACAGCCCATTGTGTTTGAGGAGAGACTTCTGACAGTTTTGTTTTATTTCAGCTCTAACTCCATGTGGTCGACACTGATTTCCACTGTGTGCTGTTCAGCAAAGTTGTACAAAAGTTGTGGTGCGTGGTGGTTTGACATATTTAGGTGTGAAAGCATATTCAATATCTTTACATTATATTGTTGGTTAATTGTCCCCATTGACAGAAATACACATTCAACAATTTTTATTACATGTAAAAACTGTTGTAACTAGGGATGCATGATTTTATCAGCATGGTATCGGTATCTGCTGATATATATATGTATATATGTATATATATATATATATAGTGCTGTTTTTGTATGACTGTTGGAGTGTTGTCATTTTGTTAGAGAGTAAATGTCATGAATAAATTTCACATTAAACATAATCCAAGTTGAAGTGTTACATCATTTTTCAGCCCCTTTTTGGCATGTACATTTGGTAGCAGGCCAAACTGACATGAAACCATGCAAAATAATGTAGTATTTTAATTCCACAGCATATAAAGCTATGTAGTCTCTGTAAGTAGGCCTAGGGAAAAAAATATCTGTATTGGTATCAATTATCGGCCAAATAAGTTTTAACATATCGGATATCGACCAAAAATCCAATATCATGCATATCTAGTTGTAACATCTGCCACATTGACTTTGAGGAAGGATGTTTTGTAATAGTTTTGTTAGTGTTTTTAAAGATAACTTGAAAAAATAGATGTTATTTATCAATGTTGAGAGAAAGACTTGGATATGTCTACATTTTTTTTCATTTAAGTTATTTTGTCAAATACCTTAATGCTGATGAAGCCGATTGGTTTATGGTTTTGTATTTTGCAGTGGAACTGAATGTGAATGCTGGTAGACTGGTTACGTTGGGTTTTATATTAAACCACAACTGGAACAAAAGAAAAAACCCACATAGATTATATTGTTTAAAAAAATGCATTTTCTTACACAAGCGTGTGCCGGTTTCATCCGGGTACTCCGGTTTCCTCTCACAGTCCAAAAATAGCAATACATTACTTATTTGAAAATGCAATAAAAGAAAAGAATAATGATAATAATAATGTTTTAAGTGATTTCTCATTAAATATGAACAATGTGTCTACTTGTTTGTCTGATTTGTGAACATATCTCGTGAACCAGAGGATGAATTTTCAACTGATTAACTTTTCCACTCAACCCAATGCAATATGGCTGCCTCAGCCAAGATACAGAAAAGGGCTGTTTGACAAATTTTGAGCTAATATTGGGTGTGGTTGTATCAGAGACTCATCACCAACGGTGATAACACCCAGGGGCGATTCTAGAATCTGACCTTTAGTGCTACTTGAGCACCCCTAAAAGAGGCTAAAATCACCACTGATAACTCCCAAAACAAAAGTCTTGAAACATTGACCAAAATGACAACAGCTTGGTCATTTCCT